ACACTAATTGGTGAAGCTAACCGGGAAAAAGACGTCCGTTTGCTCAGAGATGTTGGTTCCACCATCCTGTGTCTGTTTGAGGCATGAGTGGAAACACGTTGCTTTGCGTCGTGTCAGAGCCTTAACCGCTCAGTTTCACCCTAAAAATGAAGGATGTTTGTAAAAGAGTCTGACGGGTGCTGGCTGTGTGACCCCACAGTGTCTTCAGAACCAATCCAGTGACATCAGACTGGTGTCGGAGCGAGTGCTGTGGTGGGTGTTCAAAGACCCGACTACTCCCACCATGGAGGCCGGCCTGATCAAGCCGCTGCTGAAGAGCCTGCTGGACAACACCAAGGACAAGAACACCACGGTCCGAGCCCAGAGCGAACACACCATCGTCAGCCTGCTGCGGCTCCGCCAGGGAGAGGAAACCATGCAGGTGGGTCCCCCGCTTCACCTCAGATCTCCGCCAGAGTCTGAGACTAACCGCCTCTCCTTCCTGATCACCAGAGCATCACTGCCATCCTGGACTCTGCAAGCAACGACCTGCTGTCAGAGTGTCACCGCCGCTCGCTGAAGAAAATAGCCAGCCAGCCGGACTCCAACGAGGAGATCGACGACACCATCCTGACCTGAAGGAGCAAGACTGGAGGATGAAAGCGAAGCTACAGAGGGTTCATCGACGGCGTGAACCAGAACCCAAACGCTCTCCACACATGCTCCCTTTGAACCAGCGTGGGAGGAGGAGGAGGAGGAGCAGCTCTCCCTTCCCTCACGTTTCTGCAAACATTTTATTTTATTTTTTACCTTTTGTTTCAGCGGCCTTTTCCTGATCCTAACTTTCATCTGGTGACATTAGAAAGACGCCAAATCTGTGCTAGTCCAGTGTTCTGCTACGTCTTTTATCAGCGATCGGAAGCGTTTAAGATGTAAGGAATAACACCCCACCTTTGGTTTTCTTTGGACTTGACATGTGAGAAACGTTTGGAGGATTTGACCTCCTATTAGACAAATCAATCTAATCTGTGACTCTTGTAAAAAAAAAAAAAAACAGAATAAAAACAGATTCTTCTGTCTGCGTTGGTCAGAGGTCAGTGGGGCTAAAACGGATTCTATGTAGCAAATAAATCACTCGCATCCACCCAGACAGGTGACACCCTGCACAGGTGAGCGCTCCATCGCAGAACAATCAGTCCTGAGTCCTTAAATTAAACGTTTCACCTAAAGAAATCTCTGTGTTTTGATTCTAGTTGTTTTCCAGCTGAGGAAAAGGTTAAAAAGTTTAAACCCTGAAGATCCTGAAAATCAATAACTGGAACTAAACCAGTCAAAGTTTGGCAGCATCTCTGACATCACCCTGAATCTTTGCTCCTCCCTTGTAGCTCTGAGATGTTTGAGAAGTTTCTGATTTTACAGCCTGTTTCAAGTCACCCACAGCATCTGATGCAGCGGCCTGGATTTCCTGCTGGTTTGTTGGGTCTTTATCATGCTGCAGGGTCCAGTTCTGCTTCAGCTTTAATCTGTTTTTGGAGAAGTTCTCTGGTTTCTCTCCGACACGCCGCATAATTCATGATGATCTCTGTAACATTAGCTGGATCTGTTCTGTTGGCTGTGCAGACAAACAGTTTAAACACCAGAAGCACAAACCTGCTTTGAATCTTGCAGTCTTTCCTCGGTGGGAACCTGCTTGACGATCGGACCTTTGCATGTCGGCCGTTGTTCTGATTCGTTATATTTTCATATCAGTGAATTTCTTTCCAAACCATCTCCCCTCTGAAGCTGTTTAAACCTCACTGTGGTGTCCGCTCTCTCTCCAACAGTCAGCATCGTTCAATCAATCAATTTCCAAATCAATTTAGAGGATGAAGAGAGCACAAGCAGTTAGTCACAGTCAGAGAAACTGGACTAAACACTGTAAAAACAGGCCAAGCTCCAACATCTAGAAACAAAGGTG